GAAATTAAAAGCTATTTTTTAAAAGGTATATTTTGCTGTTACTCAGTGAGATGTAGAGCTACACAATTCTTTCTGTTCTGAGAACGTTTTCCAAAGTAATCTGAATGAACCTACAAACATAAAAAAAAAGGAGCTAAAAAGGAATCACGGGATTTTTAATATATTTTTTATTGATTTCAGAGAGAAGAGGGAGGAGAGATAGAAACATCAGTGATGAAAGAGAATCATAGATCGGCTGCCTCCTGCATACCCCCTACTGAGGATCGAGCCCACAACCAGGGCATGTACCCTGACTGAGAATTGAACCATGACCTCCTGGTTCATAGGTTGACACTCACCCACTGGGGAACATATGGGAGGCAACAGATCTATGATTCTCTCTCTCTCTCTCTCATTTCCTCTCTCTAAACATATCATCAGGTGAGGATTTAAAACAAAAAGATAATGCAATTTTAATGGATGAAATGATATGATGTCAGATACATTTCAAAATAACACTGGGGAAAACAAGGAGGATACAGATGAAACAAGCGGGGGGATATGGATGAAACAAGCCGGATCGTGGTTAGAGGGACTCACTACCATCTACTTTTATGCATATTTTAAATTCTCTGAAATTAAAAGCTGTTTTTAAAAGGTATATTTTGCTGTTACTCAGTGAGATGTAGAGCTACATAATTCTTTCTGTTCTGAGAATGTTTTCCAAAGTAATCTGAATGAACCTATAAACATAAAAAAAAGGAGCTAAAAAGGAATCACGGGATTTTTAATATATTTTTTATTGATTTCAGAGAGAAGAGGGAGGAGAAATAGAAACATCAGTGATGAAAGAGAATCATAGATCAGCTGCCTCCTGCATACCCCCTACTGGGGATCGAGCCCACAACCAGGGCATGTACCCTGACTGAGAATTAAACCATTACCTCCTGGTTCATAGGTTGACACTCACCCACTGAGCCACACCAGCCTGGCCGGAATCATGGTATTTTTAAATGGGATATGAGTACATTCCCCTTCCTGAATTTCTCTGGTTAACTTAAAAGAGGAGTTTCTTAACTGATTCAGTTCAATTTAACAGGCATCTGTCTTACAGTTATTTGGCCCATTGCTATTATCACCACCAACTAATATAATATTACTAGGGGCCCGGTGCACGAAATTCGTGCACGGGGAAGGAGGGGTCCCTCAGCCCGATCTGCACCCTCTCCAATCTGGGAGCCCTCAGGGGATGTCCTACTGATGGCTTAGACCTGCTCCCCATGGTCCTCTGCTCTCTGCGGACCTGCCTGCTTGATGCCACCGTAGGCCCTGGTGTCTGCTCTCTGTAGGGGACTGCCTGTCCTTCGCCGCTGGGGTCAGGGGCAAGCAGCACCCTGCTGTCTTCTCTCTGGCTCGCCACTGCAGGGGCAAGCAGGGCCCTGGTGTCTGCTCTCTGTGGGGGCCCTGCAAGGGACTGCTTGCCCCTCGCTGCCACGGACAGTGGCAAGCAGGGCCCTGCTGTCTGCTCACTCACTGCAGGGGATGTTCCCACCCCGTTCCTGGCCACTTGGGTGTGCACCAGCTTGGAGTGCCTGGGTCCTGGGGATGTTCCCACCCCAACCCCGGCCGCTTGGCACCTGCAAGCGTAGGCCCGGCATTCCGGACTTCGGCCGCTCTGGGCCTATGCACGGGCCTACAGGCTCAGAGCGGCCTGGCTCCAGAGGACGCCTGTCCCTGTGACAGGGCTGTGGCCAGTTTCCCCTCCTGCTCCCAGCCACTCCTGCTGGGTTTCCCCTCCCGCTCCCAGGC